ACACACACACACACACACACACACACACACACACACACACACACACAAATAAAAAACCTGAAGCTCAGAGCAGCAAGGTGATTGGCTCAAGATCTTTCACCCAGTAAAGGGACACTTGCCCAGGTTTATGACGACTTCAATGTGTGTATCTCCAACTCAGATCTCCCCTCTGCAGCTCCAGGACCCACATCCAATCTCCGACTCAACATCTGCACTTTCGTTCTGAGGGTAGTTAAATTCAGTTTCCAGGCTGAGCCCATGATATTCTCCCATTAACTTGCTTCTCTTTCAGTGGTTTTCTTTCTCAGTAAATGGCACCATCATCCTTTCAGTTGCTTAAGCCAAAAACTTAGGCTTCATCTCTATCCACCACCCCTTTTCTCAACATGCATACATGGACTCCATTAGATTTTGCCTTCTGAAGATTTCTCAAAAATGTCCATTTCTCCTTGTCTCCACCATGAACAACACAGCCCAAGGCCCCAGCATCTCACTTTGAAAAAATTTTCTTTTTAAAAAAATTTTTTTTCCAACGTTTATTTATTTTTGGGACAGAGAGAGACAGAGCATGAACGGGGGAGGGTCAGAGAGAGAGGGAGACACAGAATCGGAAACAGGCTCCAGGCTCTGAGCCATCAGCCCAGAGCCTGACGCGGGGCTCGAAGTCACGGACCGCGAGATCGTGACCTGGCTGAAGTCGGACGCCTAACCGACTGCGCCACCCAGGTGCCCCTCATTTTCATGTTATACCCTGCACTTCCCTCACCACCTCCACTCCATGCATTCTCCACTTGGTAGCCACCGTGATTTGGTAATTCCTCTACTTAAAATCTTTGGTTGGCTTCCTAATGCTCTTCAGATAAAGGGAAGAATCCCTAGTGTGGCCCATAAGAGCCAGTATGATCTGACCGCTGCAAACTGGCAAGATAAATGAGTGCTTTCCATAGTTTCAAGATACCATGCTGTATTTTTAAATAATGAGTATTTGTTCTGTGTTTATATAATGCCTAATATTTAATAACATAAGTGCATTAATTGTAGAGTGACATTCACACTTGTGGATTTTAAAGCATTAAGATATGACCACATATAAATCTTTGTGAATTCTTTCTTAAATATAACCAAATTCATTTTACAATACTATATTAATTAAAATACATGCCCAAATATGTGTAATAAAATATATAATAATCATATAATTTATTTCATTGTGTGTGATTTCTATCTGTTTCAAGCCTTTGGATAGCTGGACAGATGGACATGTCTCCCATGTTGTATGGATTACTCATCTCAGAGTCTAAAAAGCAGAGTCAACTTCATGTGATTGTGTCTTGTGCAGTTACCCGGGGCCTACACATAGAAGAGCTTGGTTTCACTGCCTTACTATTTGGTCTTGAAATTCTTAATAATTTTTGAACAAGGGTCCTATATTTTCATTTTGTCCAAGGAACCACAAGTTGTTTAGTCCATTCCTGCTAAAAAGAACCTCAATGTATTAAGAGTTGAACTCTCTTCTATCATTCAAGACCAAAGTATTTATTGCATTCTATTTCTGGATTTCTTCACAGAAGGAGGACTCTGAGGACCACTGGAGTCAGAATTGTCAATCAATGGGGGAAGGGTGTTTATATACTGTGGTCAATCACAGACTTCAGGCCAACAAAACATAAGCTTCTACTCAACAAATGAGGTTTCCAGGGGTGCCTGGGTGGCTCAGTTGGTTAAGCGTCTGACTTTGGAACTCAGGTCATGATCTCGTGGTGCATGGGTTCAAGCCCTGTGTCAGGCTCTGTGCTGATAGCTCAGAGCCTGGAGTCTGTTTTGGATTCTGTCTCCCTCTCTCTCTGCTCCTCCTCTGCTCATGCTCTGTGTGTGTTTCTCTCTCAAAAATAAATAAACACTGAAAAACGTCTAAATACATAAATACATACATACATACATACATACATACATACATAAATAAGATTTCCAAATACAATAAAAAGTGGTTAACAACTTTGGCTAGTGAAAGAGGTAATACCAACGGATGGTTAATGTGGAACATCCCCTGGATTCAGCTGCTACTTAAGTCTTGTCCTAGAATATGGGCAATAGCTGGGCAAAGGTAGGTATAATCAACTTTACTAAAGAATCTAGTGGTAGCAACATTAGAAATATTTTTATGATTTATAAAAGTCCATCTGTACTTTGTACTAAGCAAAATAAAAAAGTGAACCCCTGTGGGAAATTTTTTGCATGTGAAAAATGTGTCCGCAGCGGGTGCTTCCAGGATTGCAATCTTTGATGAAGGCAAGCAATATAATGGTGGGGGAAAATTGTGCTGTAATGGCTGAAAAGATGCTAGGTTTAAAGCACATCATGTGCTACTTTCATCTTGTAGAAGTTAAAAGGCTGCTAGCATCTGTAAATTATCATTAAATATATATATAATATATATATAACATATATTTATTAAATATATCATTAAATATATATATACATATATAATTATTTTTATTTTGCATGAAAGTGAATGATCCTTAAAGAGTTGGTTTACTGCTAACCCTAATTAATGTAGGTGAATTTAAAAATGATTATCTACATAAAATTTAAATTTTAGGCTGATAATTTTTCCCCAGAGCTCAAAATTTATGTAGAATATGAAAATTTCAACTTTCTTGAGAAGGTTACGCTTCTGAGATAAAAATTACATGATAACACAGTTTCTAGAAGTTCCCATTTGTGATAAATGGGAAGCATTCAGATGTAATGGTGCATACTTCAAGAAGATTTGTGGTGTCAGAATTGGTTTCAAGTCTCTACTTGGCTATTAACTACTTAACAATTTACTTGATTTTTCTTTTTCTTTTTTAAAAATTTTTTGAATGTTTATTTTTGAGAGAGAGACAGTACGTGAGTGGGGGAGGGGCAGAGAGCAAGGAAGACACAGAATCTAAAGCAGGCTCCAGGCTCTGAGCTGTCAGCACAGAGCCTGACATGGGCTTGAACTCACAAACCGTGAGATCATGACCTGAGCTGCGGTCGCCCAACCAACTGAGCCACCCAGGCGCCCTGAGTTTTCTAAGCCTCAGTTTCCAATTCCTAAATAAGAGTAATAACAGCCCAGGAGTAAGGCTACTGCGAGGATCAAATTAGATGTAAGTGTTTAGCACAGTGACTAGGACATGACGAACACTCTACAAATGTAGCTGTCATCACTGATGACATTTTTCTCCAAGATTTTAATCTATTAAATAGTTACCTTATTGACAGGAACAATGTTTTTGACATTGTAGTAGAAGCCAAAATAAACCATGTTGAAAACCCCATGACGTCCCAAAGTTGCTGTAAATCCTTTGTTGAGGCCCTGGAGTCCCAAGCCTTCCTTCTTAATGATGTGTCTTGCATAACTCATAGTGGATGGTTGCTGTAGGAGAGAGGAGGAAAGCCAGAAAGATCATCTTTGAGACCGTGAAATAGAGTAAATTACCATTTTAGCTTCCCTTCAAGCCAAAACTATTAGGGACGATTTTTGTCTCCAACATGCATAATCATGCCTAGATCCATGCTTTTAAAATTAGGAAGCCCAAAAAGTAAACAAAATTGCATGCATACAGGTCTGAAAGGGAAGATTTCTGGCAAAAACCAAAAAACAAAAAACCCACATCTTTGTTGGAATTAGTGAAACTAAGGTCATGTAATACCTATCATCACTACCTACATGTAAATAGCTGTATCCAATTCTGGATTATCCAAAGTAATGGAGGGGATTAGCCATACAGATAAACTGGTAATCCGTAACTGTGCATAATCCAAAAGGAATTTATATTTGGTTCTTGAATCCAGCATATTTACTTTTCTAATTATGTTTTTCTAAAGTGAATGTTACAATTAATCTTGACTCCATTGGCTCAATAGTTTAAAGTGGCACCAGGTTAGAAATCGGGCATGGATAAATTGCAGTTGTTTGTAGACTTCTTCAAGAGGGTGCGCAATCAGTGTGTATCACTCACTGTGATACATGATGAGTCAGTGGTGCTGGGAGTAGTGGGTTACCTTTAATTTACTTCCTTCCACTCTTCCGATAGATTACCTGACCCTAAAATACCCTGATTGCTGAACTCCAGTCTATTGGTACTTTTGGAACATGCTACAGAGCTCACTGTAGCTTGCCCTGAGGTTTATAATTCATTACAATACAATAACAGTTCATGTGGGTTTTTTTTAAAAAGTTGAATGATTGCTTCCTTTTGGAGGTACAGTACAAAGGGTATCTCTCCATATACATATATATATATATATATACATATACATATATATATATTTTAATGTTTATTTTTGACAGAGAGAGAGAGAGAGAGAGAGAGACAGAGCATGAGCAGGGGAGGGGCAGAGAGAGAGGGAGACACAGAATCCAAAGCAGGCTCCAGGCTCCAAGCTGTCAGCACAGAGCCCGACACAGGGCTCAAACTCACTAGCTGTGAGATCATGACCTGAGCTGAAGTTGGACGCTCAACCGACTGAGCCACCCAGGCACCCCGCTCCTTGTTATATTTTGAATGAATAGTAAAGAGGGGGAAATGTTCAGTATTTAATTTTTTTCCCCCATGAGGCAAGCACTGATGTGACATTTGTTTTTTTTTCTCCAACGTGCATAACCTGGAGCAGGTCGCTGGAGTGCTCATGGCAGTCTGATGTGCTTTCTAAGTGTTTTCTTATCATGTGCAATTAAGGTTGTATCAGAACAGAGAAGAACAAACCCAATCAAGGCTTTTCATCCACCTTGTATTTATAGCTATGTAATTAGCATGAGATACTTAATTGAGCTTGTTTATATAGTAAATCCTGTAGGTTTTGCTGATGTTTTAAGAACTCCTAACTACAATACTACACTCGACTTCATCTTGTCATTTTGTACAATAAATTGTATTAAGCTTAAGGAAACCCTTTTTTGCAACATGAAAAAAAACACATGAGAAAGCATCTTAAAAATAATAAGCAAACATTTCATATAGGAAAACCAAAAATTCTCAGAAGGTTAAAGTTCACTCTCTGTCCTACAAAATGGGACTTTTTTTTATTCGTGTTCTGGCACACTATCAACACAAATTATTTATTTTGGTTTTCAAAACAGACTTGAGGACAAGTTGAGCAGAAATTCATTTCTGTTGGAAAGACTCTGGAAATGCTGGGCAAACCACCTAAGCTCTGCTCTCCTGCTCTGGGGAAGGCAGCCAGGGGGCACATTTTGAACTTAAGTGCCTGGTTGCGTCTGAACTCTAGTTGTGAATCATTAGGTAAATCAGGGAGCAGCACAGTAGATAGAAATAATGGGTTGGAGCTAGAAGCTCCAGGTTTGAGTCTCAGCAATTCCACTTGCTAGCTTGGGCAAGGATTTTATCTGCTTTTATCCTCACTTTACTCATCTGTAAAATAAGAATAATGATAGAATCATAGAAGAGAATCTTTCTCATCGCATTGCTGTGATGACAATAAATAAGTCAATGCATTTTTCCTATATAAGCATTCACTACATATTAGCTGTTTTTAAATTTTTTTTTTCAACGTTTATTTATTTTTGGGACAGAGAGAGACAGAGCATGAACGGGGGAGGGGCAGAGAGAGAGGGAGACACAGAATCGGAAACAGGCTCCAGGCTCTGAGCCATCAGCCCAGAGCCTGACGCGGGGCTCGAACTCGGGGACCGCGAGATCGTGACCTGGCTGAAGTCGGACGCTTAACCGACTGCGCCACCCAGGCGCCCCCATATTAGCTGTTAATAATGGTAATTATGCTGTCAATAAAAATAGTTCTAATAATGAAACAACAGGTAATTTCTTTGTTGGCTGGAGGCAATGATATTAAAAAAACAGAGGCTGATTTGAGGGAGAAGAAGGGCATGCCTAACTAGCCTCGTCCTTTTCCTTCCTTCTGGCTGTCCTTTCCTTTTCCCAGAGCCCTGGACCCTTGTGATTTGTCACAGGAAATGCATCCAGACTGCAATAGGAAAAGGTCTACTTCCTCTGAGGCCTAACAAAATCTAGCCTTTGGGCTGGAGATCTTGTCCAGGGATCTTGCTCACCCCAGGGACTTTCCTCTCTAGAGCAGTGGATCCTATAAAATGGCCTCTTCCCTATCCTTCAAAGTTAACATCGTTGGTAAGAATTCTCCACTGGGTAAGTCTGTGGGCTACAGAAGCAAGGTCACATGGGAGCAAAGGTTGGGAATGAAAAAGTCACCAGCTGTGCCTCCACCCGCCACAGCCTACAGCCTGGAGAGCATATTCATGTGTGTTACCACGTACCTGGAACACAGTAAGTGCTCATCGATGTTAACCACTAACATAGATATTTGGCACTTTACATATATCAGGTTATTTAATCCTCTCAACAAGTGTGTGAGATAGGTATCACCATTATTCCCATTTGACTGATGGGGAAACTAAGGTTGAGTTACTTGCTCAAGATAACAGACATAGTGCCAGTGCTCAACTAAAGCCTCTCAGACTCCAAGTCCATACTTGGTTTTGCCATCCTAACATATCTGATTGCTTTTCTCAACCTTGTAATGTGAGGAGCGGGTAATATTTTCCTTATTTTGCAGGTGAGGAAACTAAGGATTGTTCCCATAAAAAGTAGGAATGTGCTTTTTGCTTCATTCAGCAACATTGTATCACACACATGTAAGCAAATATTTAATTAGAAAGGCAAAACATGACTTCCACTGGGATGCTTAAATAGGAAAATACAGAATCATTTTGACTAGATCTCTGTAAACACAAGGAATTTTACTAAACGTATTTGATTACTGGGCTCCCATTTCAAAACAAAATGGTGACTGATTGGCATCATCAGCCAAATGATTCCAATACTATCCAACACAGCAGGTCACCCACCAGCTCCGTTTCCTTCCAACATTTAGATTCACTGCAATTTTCATATTTAGTTACCAGTTGTGGGCCAAATTGCATTATAAACTTCCTAGAAGTACTTTTCACTGACTGCACCAGAACGCAAGCAGGGAAGAATAAGTGGATAGGAAGGTAGCTAATACTGTGATATCACACTGCTCTCCACACTGCTTTGTAGAAATCTTCAGGTCACGGATACCTGTCAGAATATTTCCCTCTGACGTAACTCAAAGTCTTTCAGTTTCACTTCAGCTATTGTCCACTGCTAATTCTGGGAACTCTGTTCTTTCATGCATTCATTTATTCAACAAATTCCTATTGTGTGCCTAGTGGGTGCCACGTGCTGTGCTAAATGTCTAGTGCAGTACTTTTTGTTCATATTCTAGAAACAAGTTATCTTTGCTTTGATTTTCTCTTACTTGGAGAGATACGCTGATAATTTTTTATATCTGCCCATGAGAATATTCCACAATGGTTATGAAATATGGAATCAAATTTCTGTTTCAAAAGTCCTTAAGAGGCTTAATTAAAGAGAAGTTTCTTCGCCTACACAATACTCCCAGGCATCACTCCGGGACACATTCCTTACTCACTGAGAGTCCAGTATTACCAACAAATCACTGGGATGACTTATGGCAGCCTGAGCTATTTTTTCTGGAGTTCTTCCACCTAACTACTGCCCACAGCTGGCTCTGACGAGCTTGTGAGATCACAGACTGAAGCGAGGGCAGAAGGCATTGTTCTCTGGGTAAATAGCTCTCAGAGTACGGCCAATAGGTATAGACGTGGGGTGTGTGTCAATGAATTTCCTCCATCCCTAAAGCCAGAGAAGAGCTCTAGGCACATCATGTCAAAAGTTAGCACGCTCCACATGCGTTCCTTTACCTGCTTCCTAGGGCAAGGTGAATTTTGCTGTATTTTAGAGCCAATGGAATAGGGCGTTGCATTGAATTTCATCACATGGCTGGAAAGCAAACCGGATGAGGCCTTTACACAATGGAGTGAGTGTCCATATCTGGCCCTTCAGAAAAATACTGCTTTGTTAAAAAAAAGAAGAGACTCAGTTGCTGCTTTTAGGTAGGAGAATACCCTGGTTCTTCAGGAGATAGAAGATCACTTAGGTTTTTCATTGGTCAAATAAAGTCTCAAAGCATTTTGATACATTTGAAAAGAAAAAAGAAAAAAAAATCCCTCCCTGTTTTTTGAGAACAAAATATAAGTGAAAGAATATGAATTGGGTTAAAATTCCACATTTACCCATTTCTTTAGCTGAGATACTTCACTAATTCATCATTATAGTTTATTTTAATAGAGCAAGATTATGGACAAAAAAACACTCAGAATATAATGATAGTTTATGCCTAGAGTTTATGTTTGATGAATGGGTCTATTTTTTAAATCATCTGTGAGGGGATAACAATTTGCCATAAACAAACTTTCCCAGATGCTAAGCCACAAAACTACATCAATACCAACTTGCTACCCAATAACCACTCCTGGAGGAACACAGGGCTTTC